ACATTTTGCAACCTCGCAGCAGGGTTGCATTATGGCAATACTATTCACATTTTTTTTATTTATTGGGCACTTTTTCTGTATTTGCATTTAATTTGAGCGCAATTTCTGATAAAAAGAAACAAATCAAGGAAAAGAAATAACAAATATTACGAATTGGTAATTAAGTTAAATAATTACAATTTTCCAGAAACAAGCTCGAAAGGCGACATATAAAAAATGCATGCGAGGAAGAAATGTCTGGCAACACCAGCAAAGTTTTGAGACGATTTTGCGACGACTGCTAGAAAGGGGTGCTCACAGTTTGATGCTAAAAATGTCTCAAAATGTAGACGTCTACATTTTCAGACACGATTTGGAACGAACTGTGAACACCCCAACTATTTGGAACGAACTGTGAACACCCCAATGTATTTTGTTTTTGCTTTGGCGGCATAAACTGTCAAAATTTGTAAGTGTGTGTAGAAATTCAAACAAAATTTTTCAATTTGATATCAGAAGCCGTGCGGCGAAACACATACACAAAATCAGCTGAGCTAGTAACACCACGCCCAGCCAGCAAGAAAACGTACATTTTACGAACATTATGTTTTACGAGGGATTCTCGTATCGCCAGAAAGTTAGAGAAAAGCTCGTAAACGATAAAACAAAAAAATATTATAGAAGAGGCTTGTAGTAATTTGTCAGCACAAGAAAAAATTTTAGTTTTGTTGACAATTTTTCTTCAATCGCAATATTTTATAAGTAGTTTGTTAAATATTCAATTTAAGAAAATTATTAAGTATGTGATTTATTGACAGACTGGTGCAAACGCCAAGGACGATCTACCACTTTCTTTTATAATTAAACTTCTTGTAAGTAGCTACTACATATGTAATTCACAAATACAAATTAATTTAACGAGTTTTGCAATTCTTTCACAGGCTGCGCGGAGCAACACTAAAGTATTTAAACGTTTAATTCCCTTATCTCGTAAGTTTATAGTTATTTATTTTTTTAATTTGTAGGTCTTTGCAGTTATTGAACTTAATGTTTTATTGATAATATGGCTTCTGAATTAAAAAGGCGTGCGAAATCCGAAGCCTTATCCGTACTAGCGTCAATAAATGATTCATTAAAAAAATTATTACAGATGAGGTAGCAGAACTTTTCTCGTGGAAGGGAACTGGTACCAAAAGCAGCGCTATTGGTTTGGCAACGACTGCGGCAATAAGAAGTACGGATCATAATATTATTTATTACCACTTTTTACTTAATTAAATTTTCCGGTTTCCAATGGAGTTTAATCTTTCACTTTATTTTCTTAGGTGCTTTTCGTCAAAAATTTAACTCCCACGAAGAAGTTTTTATTTCCGTTTCAAAGAAGCACTTCCAATATGCACACGACCGGCAAAAAAAATTGGCAGCCTATCGGCAAAAAAGATAAAAAATAAATTCAGCTACTTTAAAATATATATTAAACCCCTCTTATTTAATTGTTAATTTGTTAATAGATAGTTTGTTAATATTTATTTATCTGACAATATTTTCACATATACAGTGCCGGGAAAAAGTATTGGCACAGAGAATTTTCCGCCATGAATGCAAAGTTTTTTTTTCTGATTCTCTAATTGTTTTTTATAAAAATATAGTTAGTATGAAGTTCTACTTTCAAATCAGATTTTTTAGAAAAATTCTAAGTATGCAGTTTTATAGCCCATTTAATTTTAGTATAATAAAGTGCACGCTTGAATAGCTAGAAAACCTCTTTATTATTTGGCAATTTTTTATACGCAGTTTCTTCCATACAAAAAAAAAATGTCGCACATAATTTGCATAGAAGAAACTGCGTGAAAAAATTGGCAAAAATCAACGCGGTTTTCTGGCAACTTCAAGCTTGCACTATGTTATACTAAAATATAATGGGATATAAAACTGGATACTTAGAATTTTTCTCAAAAATCTGATTTGAAAGTAGGTCTTTATACCAACTATATTTAGAAAAAATAATGTGCGAAAAGAAATTCAAGTAAAAAACTTTGCATACATTGCGAAAAATTCTCTGTGCCAATACTTTGATCCGGCACTATAAATATTTATTAATTATAATTCCATTCAATAAAAGAACTACAATACATAATTTGAATTAATTAATTGCCTTTATTTTTAGCATTCAAAAACAGTAGATAAAGCAGTGTAAAAAAACGCTTTTTTAACGTAAATTAATCGTTTACGAGACTCGTTTACATTTAAAAAACGGACGTAAAAATATTCGCATACGAATGCTTTTTCGATCCGTTTACGACTGTTCGTAGGCGATGCACAATTTAAAGCGAAAAAGTGCTCGAAAAAGAGTCGTAAACGGCTATCATAAACGATTTTTAATCCGGTTTTTCTTCGAGAAAATATCCAATTACGAGCTTGTTTACGATGATTTTGCTGGCTGGGACCTTATATAAATTCGCCTTGCGTTATTCTTTTCGCTCTATTCTTTGTTTACTAGTGGTACACAAATGTCAACGCCCAGGACGGCGCAATCTTGTATTCTATCATTCTTGAATACAACTAATATGAGAAAAACCACAAAGCACTTTCATCACAGTTTACAAACACTCATCAAGGGCGGTATTGTCACTTGCGAAGCGAATGAATTAGGCGAAGCGAACGGTTTGGCGAAGCGAATTAAAAGGCAGAGAAGGTATTAAAAGTGTGCGCGATGCGAAGAACTTGCACAAGCTGGTAAAAGCGAACACTTTGAATGCATATTTAAGTTGCGTCCGCCTATCCATTCGCTTCGCCAAACCGTTCGCTTCGTCAAATTCATTCGCTTCGCAAGTGACAATACCGCCCATAACAAGGTAAAACCATTGAGAGGCAGTCTGACGTTTGCCAACAATATAATTTTAAAATCAAAACTCAAACTCACACACACATTCTCATTTTCAATCTCAAACAACAACAATTGTGAACAATTTAATTTTTTTATTTTCAATTTTATATGATTTTAAAATGTTGGTAAACGTCAGAACAAAATCATGGCCGACGAATTGAGAGAATGAATTTACCTTACTATGTTTTTATCATGATACAAACCATGATAAAAACATAGTAAGGTAAAACCGTTCTCTCAATTCGTCGGCCATGATTTTTTTTTGAAGTTTGCCAACATTTTCAAATTATATAAAATTGAGAGTAAAAAAAAGGAATAGTTCGAAGTTGTTGTTTGAGATTGAAAATGAGAATGAATGTGAGTTTGTTTGTAAAATTTCAAAATTAAATTGTTTGCAAACATCAAGAATTTGAAAAATTCCTCTCAGCGGTTCTACCTTCCTATTTTTTTAACATGATACAAACTACATTCAACATCTATAAATTACCCAACAAGCATTTCAGTAAATGTTTTTAAAAATAACTTTAAGTAAGTTTGCTATAATAAGCGTTAAATAAGCATTTTTAATATTAAGCTTATTAAAAGTTTTTTCAAATAAACTTTTAATAAGTTTTGAGAGGGAATGTTTATAAATAACTTAAACTTATAAATGAAATGCAAATGCCAACGACATGAAGTAGTAAATATAACATTTTCTCAATCGTAAGTGACGTGTTTACGTTTTTTAAAATATATTATTAAAAGAAAAAATTTAATAAAACCGATGTGGTAAAAAAAAAAATCCAATCCAGGACCCGCTGCGCTAATCAGAAAAGTTCATCAATGGCTGCGATGAAGCGGAATATATAGCTGCATCGATGTCGTTTTTCCAATTTGCCAATAACCAATAGCACGCAACAAGATGTAATAATTAACTTTTGTATGCTTAATTTTTGTGTGTTATCGTGAATTTGTATGCCAAAATGTCTATTCCCTATTTATATTTTCGCTACTGTAGATGAGTCCGCCGAAAATTCGCATTTCGTTTAGTTTCTAGATGTTAAGTAATCTATGTATGAGTTTTTAATGAATAAAGTTTAAATAAAGGGTTATAAAAATGTTTATAAAAAGCTTTCTTTTGAAAATTTTTAGTAAGTTTATATTCATACGCTTATAAACAACTTTTTTTGAACCTTTATTATAAGTTTACACTTTTACGCTTATAAAAAGCTTTCTTTTGAACATTTATTACAAGTTTATATTTCTACGCTTGTAACCAATGTTCCTTTTCGATTATATTACGCTAACTTTCAAGCGTTTTATAAACAAAAAATCAACGTTTTGTAAGCTTAATGTTTATAATTGAAAACTTCGAAAAAACTTTCTTTAAGTTTATTTTGCTTGTTGGGTTATTAATAGTATAAATACCCTTAAAAGAAAGCACTTCAAGTGCAAAATTGGTGATGGCGCTGTAATTCTTAGAACGGGCCCAATAATTCTCTCCTACCACTAAGAAGGGAACGAGAGTAACTTAAACCCACAAAAAAAAAAAAAAAGATTTGTCGCAAAACTTATGTTAATAATTTTAATAATACAATAACTTTTAAATTTTTACGCTGCTTCAATCTCCTCTAAGAATTTCCGACATTTTTCTTTAAGCACCTTCACGGCTTCGATGAAAATCACGTCAGGCTTAAGTGCTCCTACAGATTCAACACTAAATATATAGTGATCACGTACACGTGCCATTGTTACTGCATCTTCCAATTGCGGATAGCGATATACGTTACGGCTGCATGTATCATAGCGTGCATCTTTCACATAGGCACAGTCATTTTCATCGATTCCTATAACACCGGGAGAGAAACATTTTTGCAACAGAAATGCTTCTTTGCCCTCTACTCTGCGATTCAATATAATTTCCGCCAACAGCCTGTAGAAAGCAGTAGCTACTGGTGAAAATTTTGCGTGATCATTTCCAATACCCTTCACAGCCAATAGACGCAAGTCCAATTCGTGTCCCGGACGCAATTGATTAATCAGTATGTCATCATGTATATAACCAACATCTGTTTCGCTGAAAAGTTGCGATTGTTTGCCCTTTGGTAGCCATTTTATTTGACCGGAATAAACCTTGTGGTTCTTGTAGATGGTGTCGAAGTTTGATGAATCCTTTACATCTTTGCGACGCGTACACTTTACCTTCAAATCAAATTCTAAAGTATCATGTTCATTTCCTTGATCACCACTCTCCTCGGTTTTATACAAAAAGCGTCGAGGGTCTGCGCGTAGCGGAATGAGACCCAAGCGGGGTACTAGCACTTCATCTTGAATAATTGATGTGTTATTATAAATGTACACCTTTTCAATAGCCATACTAGGCACTTCGCTGAGCATAAGACGACGGAACGCGTTTGCTATGCCCGGATGGACACCAATCATATAAAACTCCATTTCGTTGCCATCGTATCTGGAGAAAGTTTATTAATAAGTTAAAGGAATTGAAGGTAAAAAGAGGTTTTATTTACTTTACAACAACTATTTGGAACTTGTTTTTAAAAGTTTCCAAGTTAAATGGTTCATCAGCTAGTCCATAATCGTGTGGATCCTGCTTCAACTTGTACTCGTCCATATACAACCTGGGACGTTGGGTACCTGTAGACATTTTTTAACCAGATATTTTATTTGATGTTTTTTTTGTAGATTTAATTTCCAGATTGAGTCGAAAATTGTATTTTTTACAAAAATTGTCGGTGTCCACGTGCGTGACTAGTTTTGTTTTGGTATTTGTTTCTTTCGTCGATAAATGATAAATGTCATCAAAATAAAAGGGATAAAAGTAAAGGTCAGTGAACGTTGCCGGATCGTAATTCCTTTAGTAAAATCTTTTTAGTAAGTTTTTAAATAACTTTAAACGATAGTTTTACACAATAGAACACAATTAGTTCTTCTTATAAAGAATTAAGAAGTAGCTTTAAATTACAAAAAAAACGCCTATAATTTATTTTGCATATTTTGGCGAATACTGCGGCAACACAAAGCGGACAACGAGAAATAGGCAGA